TGGATCTGCCTGTAAAGGAATTCAGAAGAATGATATGGAAACAAATTCAAATGCTCTGAAAAGGGAAGGAGGAAAATAAGGAAGAAGTCAGGAATGTTCTACAGGAGCAAACAAACACGATAGCTATGGCATTGGAAATAATCCAAAACCTGAAAAAAGAAATCCAGATGATTAATATCTGGACTATACACTGAAAGGGCAAAGGAATAGAATTCAAGAGATGGAAGCTAGAACCAGTGAGATGGAACCACAGTGTTTTGTGTGCAGATACTCAGACAGATAAACAAACTGAATGAATATGCAAGGGAGAGTGGGACTATATCTATAAATATATAAAGATTTGAAACAGGATATTTGTACATGACTATTTCCCATTTCCTAAAACACGACTGTGAATGTGGCAGAACATACAGGGGACAAAATGAGGAAAACTTCTTTATTGATGTTGTTGTTAGGTGCCATTGAGTTGGTATTGACACACAGTGATCCTATGTACAACAGAATGAAACATTATCAGTTCCTGGGCCAACCTCACAATTATTGGTACACCTGAGACCATTACTGCTGCCACTGTGCCAATCCATCTAGATGGGAGACCTTCTCTTTATCTGTGACCTCCACTTACCAACCATGGTCTCTTGTTCCAGAGACTGGTCCCACCTGACAGAATGTCCGACATATGACAGACAAGGTCTGGCCATCATAGTTTTCAAGGAGCATTCTGACTGTACTTCTTCTGATGCAGATTTATTCGTTCTTTGGCAGTCCATGGGACTTTTTTTTTTTTTACAAGGCATACATTTTATTCAAAATTGGTTATTGAGCATGTTATAATCCACAGGGGTAAATAGTTTACATGGGATTACAATAGAAATTTAAAATAGATGTTGAAGTAAACATTACATGTTATTATCAACTGATTCATCTTCTTCCTCCAAAGATTCCTTCGCATATTTCTCTGCTTCTTCCCTTATATCTTTTGGTACAATATCATGTCTCCCTTTTGTCAATTCACCAACCCAGCTGAGCTCTGGTTCAAAAGCTTTATCTTTAACTTCATCATGCACTATGTAAAGTATTTTTGCAACATCTCGGCAGGTCATTTCTTTCATCTGAAGCTTTTCAATTTCCGTCTTTGCAGCCTGCCTGGCTTTACCAATAGCACAGCCCCAATAACCACACAAAATGCCTGATGGGTCTATCATGTAGAATTGTGCACCATTGTTCACACTGTAAGACCCTAACGTGAAACTGCAACCAAAAGGTCTAACAGCTCTGTAGAGGATATATGCATGTACATACATGGCCACTCTGTCTGCTAGATATTTTAATGAGCTGTTATAAACAAAGTTTGACCTAAAGTTGGAAGCTTCTTCTTTTGCTATGTCTGCCAAAGAACGAGCATCTGCCAATAAGCCTGCTACAGCCATCCCCACATGCGGTTCAACGTTAAAAAGTCTTTTGTTGGAACTGTCTTCATAAAGTTTAGAAAGGAATAATTTCTTTACTCCAAAGACAACACCATATTTACATCTGATTCCAATAGCTGTACCCAGTGCTGATAGAGCTCATTGTGTGAAATCAACCCTGACGCGAAGGGCTTGAAGGCCTAAAGCACTTCCCCTACACTGCGGTACTGCACAAGCGAGTTACCCATGGTACTTTTAATATTCTCCTCCAAAACAGTAATTCAAATGCATCAATTCTTCTATGGTTTTCCTTATCCACTGTCCAAATTTCACCTGCATATGAGGCTATTGAGAGTACCATGGCTTAGGTCAGGTGCACCTTAGTCCTCAAACTGACATCTTTGCTCTTCAACACTTTAAAGTGATCTTATACAGCAG